CGGCGAGACTTCATTTGGATATGTTGTCAGGACAGACCGGTCCTGGGAGAAGGACATCGTGCTGGGTAAAGGGGCAGCCAAAGAGAGGATGACCCTGACCCTCGACAAGATGGATTGACCGAGCTGGCGCCAATGGTTACAACAATGGGCTCAACAATCAGAACAATTTGTGAGGAGGGCACAAGACCGGGGTGTTTCCTTCTGCTTGCTAGCACAGGCCCCGATTCTCGGGCACCTAACAACCACAAAAGAGGAAGCTCCCTGGGAAAGTAGCCTGCTTTCTGACAGCACCAAGGTTCTGTCTGGGCTGTCCAGAGAGGGTCTAGCTAGCCACTGACACATGTTGAACACTAGGTGCACAGCTTTATCCAGCATGCTCTCCTGCTCACTACTTTATCCAGCATGCTCTCCTGCTTACTACTCATGCCTCATATGGCGTTATTTTTATTCATTTTTATTCATTTCCCTAATTCTGTGAGCGCATTTGGGCTCCCAATCCTGCAGCAGGGCACACTCTGTCAAGCAATCCCTCCCATCCTTGGGGCAGCGGATGTTTGAGAAGTTTTTTTATGCCGGATTAAAATCTTCCAGTCGCATCTTCCTACCCACCCTGCTGCAGGAGCCCTGTCGGTCCTGTAGGGCATATTGGTGGCATAGTAATTACCTGTTGGGCTGTAATCCCCAAGGTCATCAGTTTGAAGCCTCCAGCCGAGCTTCCAGAAAAAGAAGGGGCTTACTACACACATGAACAATTACATTCTCACAGGGGTGGTTCTACCCTGTCCTATAGGGTCGCTATGAGTCGGCAACACCTCACTGCCCTGTAGTGCATGTGTTTTTTGCCTACACTTGCAGGAGCGGGGCACCTTTGTTCAGCTGAGGGCCATTTGGATGTTTATAACATCATTCCAGGGCCACACTGGTCAACCATTGAGGTCATTAAAATCTTAATGTGATGGCCAGAACTGCTGTGATATTATTGACGATTCTGATGGCCTTGTTTGGCCCATAGGCTGGATGTCCCCCACCCCTGTCTAGAGCATTGTCTTTTGCCTACTTGAAGACCACCCGAGTGAGGTCCTCCGGCATGCATTCTTTCTCCTTTCAAACATAGTCTTTGTTTCCCAGTTTTGACACTGAATCCCCTCACCATCATCAGGATGCACCCCATTACCCTCTTAGAGATTATCCCCAAGAAGAAAAGACTAATCCATCGGTTCCCAAATTATGCCCTTTTCAGAAAAAAAAGTACTCGACGACGCATTCCCCCTTCCCCTACCTGCCCCTCCCACCCCCGGCAATTAAAAACTTTTGTACTATAGCCCACAATCCAGGATAAAGGGTGAGTGTCTGCTTTTTGCAGTCCCCTGGATCACTCCAGCACCCCCCAGGTGGGGAGGGGTGGTATTGCTCACCTTGGAAACCACTGGTCTACGTCCTTGTGATTCAAAGCGTGAGCCACAGTCAGCAGCTTTAGCATCACTTGGGGGGTTCCTCACTGCTAAACCCCTGACCACTACATCAAGACTGTCCACGTCATGAGCCAGTCAGGGTGCAGTATAACACCAATGAAACATACAACTTTCCTCTAGTTCTTTAATGCCCCCCCCATCCCCCACTATCATGACCCCAGTTCTACCTAACAAATCCTGCCAGAACAGAGCATATACACTGGTACAGATAAGAGTTCTCAACACATGGAATCCAGGACAGATAAATCCCTCAGAACCAATAATGAGAGCACTGATACCAGGAGGGGAAGGGGAAGGTTGGGGGAGAAGGGGGAAACTGATCACAATGATCTACATATAACCCCCCTCCCAGGGGAGCAGACAACAGAAAAGTGGGTGAAGGGAGACAGCAGTCAGTGTAAGACATGAAAAAATAATTTATAAATGATCAAGAGCTCATGGGGGGAGGTGAGCTGATACCAAGGTCTCAAGTAGAAAGAAAATGTTTTGAAAATAGTGATGGCAACATATGTCAAAGGTGCCTGACAAAACAAATGGATGTGTGGATTGTGATAAGAGCTGTAAGAGCCCCCAATAAAACGATTTTTAAAAAAACAACTGTCCACATGATTTTTTGCACACTGCACTTTGGACAGCCCTGACCTAACCAGCGCAGAGCATAACTCCTTTTCTCTGAATGGCAGTCGAAGATGGCATTCGCTTATAAGATCAATTGCATTACACCCTTGACTCTGAGTTTCCTGTTTTCTGAAATGCCAGTTTTCACACTTGCTTCAAGGCCACATCTTCCCATACTGCCCTGTCCTGGGACTGAAGCATCCAGCAACTGTCCCTGATCTTAAGGACCAAACATAGATCACGTTCATCTGTCTCTAGTGCCAAGGCAATGGTGGGATACAGATGGGACACTCATGTAAGAAGTAACAAAATAAGTGACTGATGCAGGGCTCCAAAGGAGGCAGGGACTCATACTCTCTCTCCACATCACCCCTGCCTCCTCAGTGCCCACTCTGTGCTCGGGCAGGTCCTCTCTTCATGACCCAGAGATGGCTCGGAGCTGTGGGTATTCTTGTTCAAGTCAGGTGGGGAAAGAGCACTTTCAAGGAACTGCTGGGTTGGGAGTCTTTTTCTTCTCTTTCTTAGAAAACTCAGCAAATGTCTCCTTAGCCTTGCTGGAATTCTCTACTCATTTCTGAGCCAATCACAGAGGGCCAGGCGTGGATTCAGACAGTGATGGGTTTTAAGCAGATGAGGACCCGCCTCCTGCTGCCGAGAGAGGCTGGAACAAGAGCAGGATCCAGCAGGAGGTCCAGGTGTTGTTCTTGGTGGGAGAAGAGGTGAAATGGACACCGGGGAAGCAATTGACCAATATCCACCACAATGCTCAGTGTCTGCATCTCAGTTTCCTTGGGATCTTGCACTGGTTTCTCAAGATGTCCAACATCCCGGCAACCCCGAGCTCGGGTTATGGCCAGAATGCGCTATTTTTATATGCCACACAAATCATTCTTCTCCATCACGTTGCATCAGCAACAGACTTGAAAGGGCCCTGGCTCACCTCCTCCAGGAATAACAAAGCTGCACGGGGGTTCCTTGAGCCACTCCAAAAACCACCCCAGAGCGGTTTGCCACACATAATAGAGGGCGCGCCTGGAAGGCAGCATCCAGCCACCGGCTCTGCTTGAAAACCTTTCCGTAAGGAGCACAAGTGACCACAGGGGATTTGAAATTTTATAGCCGTGTCTTCGGGAGACCAAGTGCCTAAAACTAGATGGAAAGACATGTAATTTCTCAAATGAAAAACCGTGGACAGGAGAGGTAACAGAACGGGTAAAATAAGTCCAAGTGCTAGGTTTTTGCTTCCAAATTAAAATCCAAGGGATAGGGGATAGGGGAGGATGGTAACAAGGAACTCAGCAGCCCGCATTGGTCATCCCGTTCTGTGCGTCCACTGCTTACTACTTGCTTTGGGGTCCCCAGGCTCCCCAGGGCGGCCTGAGCTTAGACGAGGATTCTGATGAGACCAACCTGACGATCAGAAGGCAACCTGGCCACCACTGACCTCTGGGTGGCTGGTCCACTACCACTTCTCAAAAGAACCCTGGCTGCTGAATCTCCAGGGGCAGGTCAGCTGGGTGATTGTGGGGGGAACCTGTCCCCAACCTGCTCCATTCTAGGTCTAGACTAGGTGGGGACACCACCCCTACTACTGCCTGGAGGAGTAACTTTGAGCCCACTGCTTGTTCACCCTCACCTTCTATTTCTGCCTGTGTTAAAGGGGCGCCATGGTGCCCCCTCAAAGATGGGTGTAAAAAATAACAAAACATCACATGGCAAGTGCCCAGAAATGTCACCCTGCACAGGACATCGTCGCCCCCTGCTCAGCTCCACTTGGTGCTCTGCCACTGTCAGCACTCAACAGAAGCACTCGGGTATGCTTCTGCCGGATCACAGGCCTTGCCCCCGTCTCTCTACCTCCTCACTGCCCACCTCTGGGGACACCGTACCTTGTAGTCCTGTCTTACTCCCAGGCCTCGAGTCAATTCTGACTTATGGTGACCCTTAGGGCAGGGTAGCATTGCCCATGTGGATTTTCAAGACTGTCCATCTTTCCAGGATCACCTAGTGTAATCCTGTAGTAACTGTAATGAAGTTTCTAAAAAATACAGCATTTTGAGGAGCAAGAGCTCACGCTTAAAAACTATATAAAATGAGCAAAAAGAGCATATTCTCAATTCTTACTGGATGTAAAACCTTGGGCAAACATTTAATAGGAGGCTTCAATCAATCCTGCTTTTAAAACAGCAGAAACACAAGATACCTCTCCTTGGGGTAAGGCGAGGTCCTTGGGAACAGAGGTCTCGTTTATACAACTTTACATTCCCCTAGAAGCCTGGTAGTGTAGTTGTTAGGAGTTGGGCTATAATCCACAGGTCAGCAGTTTGAAACCACCAGTCGCTCCATGAGAGAAGAGAGATAGGGTTTTCTACCCCTAAACAGTTACAGTCTCAGCTCTACCCTGTCCTACAGGTTCACCAGGGGTCATTATCAACGTGACTGAGTATGCTTGTATGGAAAAGACCAAGTGGGGGAGAAGCATGGACACAGCTACTGTCTCGGATTCCCACAGGGGCAGATCTACCCAGCCCTACAGGGTCTCTGGGAGTCAGAATAACCTCCACGGCAGCGAGGGAGTGCAGGGCCCAAGCACACAAGGTGCCTGTTAGAAAGGCAACAGGAGGGAGGGAGCGAGCGTGCTGCAACTCCGCAAAGGGCTTGTTGCCTTGGAGGGTGCTCAACTGTCACAGAATGAAAGAGACCCGGGCAGGGGTGGGGGCTCCAGCTAGACTGGAACCCTTCTGTGCCAGGGCCTGAAGCTTGCCTTTCAATCTGTCTGGCAAAGAGACCTAACAGCTCTCAGGGACAGTCTGGTATTAAATTTCACAGAAGCTTTAATTCTGTATTTAAATAGACCGACTTTCTGTGACTAAGAGGAGGATGGCTGAAAGAAGAGTCTGGAAAACAAAGTAAATGAAATAAATTTATTTGTGGGAGAGAAACAGTCTGATCCACAATGATCAACAGTACATAACCACCCACCCTGGGGTACTCTGACTGCGCCTGCCTTAGGGAGAAACCCTGCCCAGAGCAGCAACAGCCGACCAACCTGGGAGTTTCAAGCAATACATCTTGATACAGTAATAAAAATACAATAGCAAATACTCACTACTATGTTAGCTATAATCTACTAAATATAGAAACAGTTTGGGGCCTTTTGGTTAAAAAAATGAAAAAAATATTTCTATTACAGTTTCATTTCAAGCGTTTTCCATTAAATACAACTTTTTATGTATTTGCACTCACTATAGATAGCAAAAGAATGTCTTCATAAGTATCTGTAGATAAGACAGACAACTTATTTGAGCGTCCGAGCTCTGGAGTCCACTTTGCCAGGTGTGAGTTCAGAGCAGAGAAGGAAGCGGTGCTATGGGAAAGCACCTGGCTGGACCATCGAGGCTTGGGTAGTCTGCACATGCAGCTGAAAACTTACAGCAAGGCCAAAACCACGTGAAGACAGAGAGAGAACCACTTGGGCCATTGCCAGCGAAGGCGTCTCGTTCCAGAGAGGAGGCTTTCCAGGTGGATTTCCAAGTGTGTGGTCCCAAGGTGAATTCTCCCCAGTGCAGGGAGCTGGCTGTGGTGGGAGGCGACACTTACTGATGGCACAAGCTGGGAGGAAAGGGTGAGCTGAACTACAGAGATGGCTGCTGATAAGCTGCGTCCCTCAGTCTCTGGGCCTCATAGGGCAGCCGGGCGGTGGGCAGCCGGGCGGACGAGGGCCCTCACTGCACTGTACACATGGAGCTGCGAGGCGGGTTAACAGTTCTTGACATGGGCTCCTGGTTGTAGTTTACAATGTCTGCCTTCACCACCCTCTGTCATAAAAGAAAACAGAGTTATTATCAGGCCATCAGCACAGTTAGAAACCCCTCTGCAGTCTGTTTGTGCTGTATGAACTCTGGTGAACTCCTGCAGACAGACAGGACCCATGAGGCAGGAGCTGGTACTGAGAGACCCAGTCAGAGAGATCTAATGAAGAGCTGGGTCTTTTTTGTTTTGTTTGTTTGTTTTCTAAAGCAGCAGTGGCGCCCACTCATGGGGTCTCGCCTGGTTCCTCTGACACTAATTTAAAGTGACCATGCATCTCATGAAAAGTGACACGTCAGGAGGAAACCGTCAACCTCAGTTACCATTAAAGCAACGGAATGAAAGTGAGTCATCACACATATGTCCATGTGCAGAGAAGGTCATTGCTTCCTCATCTCCGAGTGGAAGTCATTGCTTGTTAGAGTCCCATAACCTGCTCTATGATGTTTTCGAGCCCTAAGAAGAGGTATAAAAGTGAGGGCACGTCTAAAGGAGAAGTGTTTTGAGTAACTCCATTTTAAAAACTACCCTCCTAAATGCCAGGCTCACTATGAAGAATGACACACAAAATATGGTCCCAAAATAGGCAATTCCCACATATACTCCAGTGTAGACCTGCCTGAGAATCAGCCAACGCGCCTACTTTTACCACAAAAACTGCATTAAAAATATGCCGAAAAACTTGGCTTATACACGAATATATACAGTACTTCAGATTAAAAAAAACATATTTAAACCAGAAGTCATTTTTAAATCTTCCCTCCTTCCCACTAAACACAGTTTAAGGACTATCTGAAAAGACAAATCTAGTGTCCAGATATCTAAGGAGCGAGTAGAACATATGTTAAATTCTGAGTAATGTTTTTAACTAAAACGAGACTTTTTGTGTTTTCAACTCTTTTAGCACTCTGCATACCCAGGCAGACAAAAAAAGGAATTAAAAAAAGGTTGTAAAATATTTTTTCAGGTACCAAGCTATTTCAGGAAAAATGGCAAGGAACGAATGAAATAACTGCAATTCTCCACTGTACTACACGTATCACAAATGTGGCAACAAGGACAAACGTTTGAAAGTAACTGCAACGTTATTTCAATTTGTTGAAAATTCTTATTTAATTTGAAAGTCTCTTGGCAAAGAACCCATTTTTCAAAATCCCACAATAGTACTTCAAAACCCCAACCCAACCCACTGCTGTCGATTTGAGACTCAGATCAGCCCTGCAGGACACAGTAGAACTGCTTCTTAGGGATCCTGGGGGCACAGTGCCCCACCCTTTCACCAGCAGAGCAAGGTGGTGGGTTTGAACCACTGACCACATTGGTTAGCAATTCGGTGCTTAACTCACCGCACCACCAGGGCGTATGCAATAATTACCTGGGATGTATGGTAATTATCTGAACTTCTCTATTCATAAGGATAAAGAACCAGTCCACGTTCACGCTCTCTCCCAGGCCCCCTCCTCCAATTACAACACGGTGTGCACGAGTACCTGCACTACTGCACTGTACAGATTCTACTCTGAGCAGAGCTGCCATGCTGGTTCTCATCTTCCGGGTACTTCACTATTCCTGCCCTGACAACGCGCTGTCAATTCCGTGCAACACAAGCAAGATGAAAAAGAAGAATGGGGGGAGGGGGGGAGACAAAAATGAAAGTATGTTCAATGAGTGGCAACAGAAGAGGGCAATAAAGCAGAAAACAGAACAGAAATAAACACACTTTAAACATGCTACAAAAGAAATTGCAGAACATTTGTAAACAAAAGCAAAGAAGAACCAAGAAATAACATTGACTATTCATGACTGGAACAGCTTGATGCACTGAAGCTCCCTAGCAAAGAGTGAGTTCTACTTTTGGCCCTAGTTACCCGTAGCATACAGAGGTAAAGGGCGGGATTTCAGAGAGCCCTTGGGAAGCATGGGGGCTTTTCGACCTAGAACTTAAGAGAAATATCTGCCCACGAGTTGCTGTGGACATCATGGGGAGACACACAACTGTCACACAAGACACACCCAGCTAATTGTGCTGTGTGGGGGCTGAGAGGAGGCTTATAATCTGCTGTGGGAACACAAAGGGAGGACTGATTCGTGTTCTTTGAAGGTGGAGAAGAAACGCAGAAATCAGAGAAAGCCATAAGCCATTTGCCATTTTTAAGTCAAATCGTATTCATTGCTGATGAAAGACTTCCTTTTCAAGAGAACTCCCCTATCCTCCCAATCCTATAAGCTCCGTACTTTCAAATTCCAAAAGAAACCAACTTCAGTGTGCCGTGGTCTTTCATTTCTTTTAAAACCTCACTGAATTCAAAACTTAAGCACCACAGCTGTTGCTTCAAGCATTTAACGGTTTTGCTAAATAGACTCAAAACGACTTTGTTGTTTATTGCTAGAGTCCCGATGATGGTAAGACCATGTAGGACGCATACTGGTATGTATGACAGCACCAACACGCTTCCCAATTTGAGTCCTGAAACTATCTTCTCTTACCCTCAAACTGCAAATTTTCTTATTCATATCAGAAAGTCTTCCTGCATAAGGGCATCTATTAATTTATAAGCAGAAATAGAGAAACTCTGTAAAATAGGCTGCTGGTGCTGATACCGTCTTGTACTACCACTGGAAAAAACCTCAATGGTAAAGGGACAGGATGTTTAGCGTACAGGGGCACATGAGCCCTGGGTGGACCTGCTTACGTTCCCTCATAAGGAGCATGAACTTTTGGACAAGGCCGGTGATGGATGAAGCACTCAGCCTGTTGCTGTCAACAGAAGCTTTACCCAGTGCCAAACAAGGTATTGGGGGGGGGGGGGGGGCACACCAATGCCATGCTGAATACTGTTATATGATCTCCCCAAACCTAATTGTATCATGCCAAACTGTGGGATACAAGGAAGAAAGGGGATTTTTTATAACCAGTAAGGAACTCATTAATCCCTCAAAATGCTGTTTTAAATCCTACCCTATAAACAAACACAGCCAGGTTCCTGACCTGTGGTCAAGACATTTGACTAACATAAATGACTCGGGTTTTCATCATTTATTTCCATCAAATGAATGAAGAACTTGCAATGCAACATCCTTCTTCCAGGCCCTGTTTGACATCAGGCTTTGGTCAATGTCCCTGCACTGGCTCTGCAGACCCAAACATTTGCTCTCTGGGCAGAGAAGAGCATGTGCCACACACACTTCTGGGTAGGTGGGTTCACAGTCGTCCACTTGCTTATGAGTCACTTGTTAAAAAGGTTACCTACAACAAACCAACTTCTACTTTTGGAGGTGGAGTGAAAATAATTATCCTGGGTAAAGCAGCTGGGCTGCAAAAAAGGGGAAAACTTTCAACAAGATGGACAGACACAGTGGCTGCCTCGACGGGCTCAAACAAAGAACAGTCGTGAGGCTGGCGCAGACCGAGCCATGGCTGGTCTGTTGGGCATGGAGTCGCCATGAGTTGGAACTGGCTCCAAGGCACCTCACAACAGGAGGAACGCAGCCACGTGGCTACACACTGGCACAGCCCTTATTTCCTAAGTACAGTACTGGTCATGGAAGTGGGCGCTATCCTGGCAGAAAGCAGGAAATCAACTAGAAGTTGGGGGAGAGCGGCATAAGAAGATGGTCTTGGGAAAACACTCAAGATAAATTGGGTCATTTCTGCAGCTGTCACTTAATCCAGACTTCTCCCTGAGAAAGCTGTAGTTTTCCAAGTCTAGTATATGGAACAAATGTACCTTAAAGGCGAAATGAGTGCCACTGTCTTTCTAGCAAAGCCAAGCAGGATTTTAGGTACTGGGGAAATTTATATACAAGAGGCATGCTCTCGCCTTTTGAGATACATATGAGTGTGCCAGGGAAAACAGAGGTATACCTATTAAAGATGATGGTTTGTAAGCATTCAAAGAGCAACAAGATTACAGATTGCCAATTAAAATGTAGATGATGATGTTGTTAGATGGCATTGAGTCACCAATGGTGGCCTAGTCCTGAGCCACCCTCCCAAAGTGCCACTGTGGCAGCCACTGTGACAATCCACCTTGTGATGGTCTTCCTGTTTTTCAATGACTCTCTATCAAACAGGATGTCCGTCTCCAGTGACTGATCTCTCCTGGTAAGTCCAAAGTACGTGAGATGAAGTCTCACTCTCCTGACTTCTAAGAAGCATTCTTTCTGCTTGTACTTCTTCTTATAAACAGTTTTGCTCATTCTTCTGACAGTCCACAACAGTACGTTCAATATTCTTTGCTAACACCATATTTCGAATGCATCAGTTCCTTGATGTTCCTTATTTATCATGTGAGGATATTGAAACTATCATGGCTTGAGGGGTCAAATTATGCTTTGGCATTTGAACACACAGAACCAGATTTACTCAAGGCAATAAATCATTTCATTTCTTGACTGCTGCTTCCAGGGGCACTGGTTATAGATTCAAATAAAATGAAACCCTTGATATCTTTAATATTTTCCCCACACATCATGATGTTATATAGCTATAACATGCTCTGTGTTACAAAGCCTGGTACTTTGCATATGGTAGAGTGTTTTTATAAACTACTTGTCCCCTGCTTATAGCAGGCCAGTATGTGCTGCCAGAGCATTCTTATCTGAGCAAGCTACTTTCTCTGGTCTTCACACTCTCCGGATCCATGAAACACAAGGGTTGTTTGAATACTGTCTAAGGACCCATCTGGTTTTGAAATTACCTGAAAAGTAAGTTTGAAAAATTAATGGGTGAAAATCAAAATGGGATGTGATATGGGTATCCACTAAAAAAAGGTTCAATATTTGAGGGTAAGAGTAGTGTTCAGTGTAAGAAAGAAATTTCAGTGCAGTGTTTGTGATGGTATTGGGGAAAACAATAATGTGATTAACATCTGGGGAAGAAGAATTCAAGTTTCTTACCAGCTTCTAGTATTGAATATTGACCAATATCCAGAAAAGACAAAGTCTTAGGACCGGGGGTGGGGGGTATCATGGGCACCTGTGTTGGGCAGTGACGTGTTAATAAAGATTCAACCAGAATTGGGGGCATGTCTGCTCCATGCCAGGTCCTTTGTTTGACAAGGTCAGACACAAAAGTAAAATACTGGGATAGGACAAGGCTCGGATCGTTACCAAGTTAGTGAACGTCTCAGGTGTGAGAGAACATTTTGTTTTGAAGAAACTTGCATATCTAGTTCAAGCCCAGTCAGAGCCATACTTTGTTATTTAGAATGTAAAAATTTCAAGTATTAAAAATACATTAAGACCTCTTACCACCAAATATCTTAGCAGCCACATCTCCTTGTTCTGATTCAAACTGAGATAGACAGATAAGGACTCTGCTTTCTTCTTAAATTACCTAAGCATTCTCGTAGGACTAGATGTTAGACTTCCTAGAAAGTGGCAGCTGAAATTTACTTCTCTCTTAAAATGTTGCTGTTCTACAAACCAACAAATAAAAATCTCAACAGTCTGGGATAGTAGAACACTTGCTAATAACTATTCCCAGGGTTCATATTCATGTAGAGGGAAGAAGAAAAGGAGACTGCAAATGAAACTTCAAAGTACATTGGGAATGGTGAAAATTGCATGTCTACTCTACTTAGGTGTTTAAGTATTTGTCTTCCCCTGATACCTTTGAGTATCATCTCTTTATCTCCAGATTCCAATGCGGTCCCTGGCAAAAAACATGCCCTCAAAAATGTTCCTAATAAACTGTATTCACACGCTGTTCTCCCTCTTTCTCCTTCTTCATGCTCTTGTGGAGCTCATGAAAAATGCTGCAGATACAGGAACAAGCTAGGCTACAATGAAATGGTCTCTTTACATCATCAGTGAATGATAAAGCCCTCATCATAAATATTGTAATAATGTGCCCACGTTAAAAATTAAAACATGCTCATAGGTATAACAGGAAAACATTGTTTGGGGGTGGGGGGTGGGCATGGATTGAGCAGTTGTCAAAAACATTTAATCCCCACATTTGCATAAAAATGTGGTCACAAATCCAATTACCCAAAACAGCAATTTCCATGTGACTGGTGAGTTCAGTGCCTTCTTTATAAAACAATACAGGGTCCTTTCAAAGGTTACCTTGAATCCCTTCAGAAATCCTTCAAAATGGCATTTTTTTAAAAAAAAAAAGCATTCACTGAAAACAGGCAGTACATAGATGATCTTTTAAATACACTTTCAAAAAATTTTTCCACTGCAATATTAATTGTTCAAACAGTCGTTTCATTGGCAAGGGAAGAGCAAACTATATTACATTAAATGCCCTAAGTTCAGAAAAAGATAATAAGGCTTCCAGCCACGCACAGAGGACTCTGACAAACATAACAAATGTAGCAGTCGTTTAAATTCCTCTTCAAATGAATCCATTAAGGGCTCCACCAACACACTACAGCTAGAACTCACACTCACAGCATAAGAGGGAAGACATGTGCTAACAAACAAGGTGGGCGTGAAGGGCAGTGCTGGCATGATCAACACACCGAATATCCTTCCAGTGCGCACGCACATGGTTTGAGTCTCTCTCTAAAGTCGCCAGAGTAACTGTGCTCTCTCAAGGCAGGAGCTCAGAAGTGTTGAGAAGCATCTCCCCAAGTCACACCTTTCAAGAGTATCCTGCTACCCCTCCTCATCCAGCTCTCCTTCAGCCTGAGCCAGTCTCCTTCTCAGTCAGCAGGCCAACCTGCCAGTGCCAGGAAGGTTTCCCTCCCGACTGAGCCCACCAAACACTGTTGTATTGTTGTGCCGTTCTCTGTTTCTTCGGCCAAGATATCTCGGGGTGATCCTGGATTACTACCCTCTCCTATGCAATCGTCCCATAAGTCCTACTTCGTCTATGCAATGTCTCTTGCACCCAGTCTTCCCTTCTGCACTCAGAGCACTCGCCTTGCCTCTTTCCCAGGCAACCATACTGAAAAAGGAGAAACCCAATGCCATCGAGTCAATTCCAACTCATAGCAACCCTGGAGGACTGAGTAGAACTGCCCTGTGGGTTCTGAGCTGTCGATCTCTATGGTCGCAGACAGCCTCATCTTTTCCCATGGAGTGACTGGTGAATTCAAACTACTGCCTTCGGTTAACAGTTCAGTTCATGACCCACTAACACGCCTTGGCTCCTTTCCCACCACAGACACAAAAAATTCCAATTCGATAATTTTAGTTAGTCCTACTTAAAAATATTTCCCACTGACTACAGGATGAATAAAACTCATCAACTTGGCATGCACAGACCTCTATAATCTGTTTGCAAAGTCTCTTTCCATTCTGACACAATGGTCATTTAACTAAAAACTGCTCTTCTGATTCCAAAATACAAGTCACACTCTTCTCCAAGTGTGTCATTTATGTCAGCTTCTCTTTCAGCATTGTCTTCTCCCCCAAGTCACAGTGCCCATTATAAGACTGGAAACACAAGAGGCACAAGCATCACACAAACCTGGCTTCAAATCCTGGCTCTAGAGCCTCCTCAGCCCCTCATGTGGGTAAGTTATTGACCTCTTTTCAGTCTCTTATTTCCTGCCAGTAAACTGAGGCCATGTCACCTGGCCCCACAGAGTCATTCTCTCTCAACAGCCATCGAGTCGATTCCCACTCATAGCCACCTACAGAACAGAGTAGAACTGCCCCTATGGGTTTCCAAGACCATAACTATTCATCAGAGTACAAAGCCTTGTCTTTCCCCCAAGGAGAAGCTGGTAGGTTTGAACTACTGACTTATGGTTAGCAGCCCAGTATATAACCACTACACCACCTGGGCTCTTTACAGAGTTGTTAGAGTCAATAAGGTAACAAAGTGTGTTGGTAATCATTAGTCATTTTCTTCATGGAAGGAGGAAGACCTTTTTAAAACTTCTTTCAGTCCTCTTTAGACTCACAACTATACTGAGAACATATGTTCAATAAACAGTTCATGATTGCTCGGTCATCATTCATGGCCTCTCTCATCAAAGAAAACCAAAAGGCATAGGAGATCCTTCCTTGACTTCTGGGTCCCTCCAAGGTATATGCAGCCCTGCCAGTGCTCCCACGGCCATCTCCAGCACACCTTTGTCTCTTCTGCGGCCCAAACAAGGAGCCATTCTGATGTGGCCAGGAGCCAGTTACGTGGCAGAAGACATCCTGCACAGGGCCTGACCCTAAGTGCTGGCACAGACGCCTTCTGAACGATGAGAAATCCAAGGAGCCAACGTCTGGGAGCACCAGATAATCAAGTCCAGTCCCAGACACACCGCATCAGCACAACCATTTTCAACCGATATTTGCCTTAATTGCTTTCAAAACACATATCTAAAGAGTCCGCATGAGGATAAGACACAGAACTAACTCTGAAAGAATTAAAGAGAAAGTTAAGGGTGGGAAAAGATAATTATACCTTTTTAGTTGGATGGGTGGGTAGGTGGAGGAAACTGAAGGAAAATGCAATTCACTTGTCGCTTCTAACCAAACCACTTCTGAAGCTTCCCTTTAAACTATAGGCTCTTGCTCTGATTTTCATTCTATCACATATGTGAACTGGTGTGCTATTATAGTGGTATTTTTAAGTGCTTGACTGCTGGTGTTCATGTTTATTTCTAAGTCTAGGAGTATGGATACACTATATTTTTGAGGGAGGAAAAAGAGCACAAAGAATTATGCAAACTACCTAAACCAGAAGAAAAATATGATTTATTTAATTTGGCCAGTGACCGCTCCACTAAGAATTCTACTGTATTTTATGATTCTTGGTTTAAGGTTTACTCTTGGGTTTCATATTCCTGTATTATTTTCCATGAAGTAATATGACTATCAATTTAGGTGGAACAAAACACCCTTTTATAAAGTGTCCCTTTTTTAAAAAAAATGAAAGAAAATCCTATTAGTACACTAATTAGACAAAGGAGCTTTAAAAACTCATCCTCTTTCCTACTCTCCTAAAGGACATATATTTATTCCTGGAGCCGGACATAGTTCTTGAACCCTGGCATCAACGTTTATAGAAACAGGAACACCTTATAAATCCAGGTATAAACTTTCTAGGCCTATGGAAAAAAACTCAGAAATCCTTAGTGATCGATAACATTATTATAAGCTAACAATAAAATAATAACCAAACCAAACTCACTGACATTGAAATGATGCTGACTCATAAAGACCTTATAGAACAGGTAGCTGCCCTTGTGAGTTTCTGAGACTTTAACTCTTTACAGGAGTAGAAAGTCCCATCCTACTCCCTTGGAATGGCTAGAGGATTCAAACCTTGTGGTTAGCAACCCAACCCACTATACCACCAAGGCTCTAAACTAATATTTAGAGCCAATAACATGATAATGAGGATGTTCCAGAGATAAACAGCACTGATTTCTAAAATCAGAGACTTTCAACCAAGCAAACACAAATTGATAACAAATAGAGTAAACCTTTCTGAATAAAGATTAAGTTTTGATAAATAATCTTAATTGGGGTGAACTATAAAAAGAAGAGTGTAAAGTAATCTTGTCCACTAAGTTCACGTAAAACAATATGGCAGGCACTTGAACCAGGACTCAGTGGTGAAAGCCCTGGTCTTCCCATCACAAAGAACAAAACGACGATGCTCCAAGGGCACTGCCCCTTCTGCAATGAGCCCAGAGTCCTGCAATCTGCTCCTAAGGTTGTTGAGAGGATGTGCATGGACTGCATAAATGAAGAAGGATTCAGGATTGAAAATTAGTATCTTGTAAGAAATCCATTATTTAAAAAAAAAAAAACAGAGTTCAGAATAATCACCTGTGACTGTTCTATTTCTGCTTTGTTTAATTTGATTCCAAGGATTTCAGCAGCAACTTTCTGAAAACACAGGAAGACCTACATAACAAAAATAAGTATGGATGATTTAAAACAGGCATATTCAAGTTACCTTCAAATAAATTAAAACTTTCTAAAAAATGATAAACAGCAAAAACTACAAAAATACGATGTACCAGGTAATTCTAAAATTAGCTTATTTGACAAATACAGCAATTTTTAAAATGTAGCAATTTTTGAAAATGATTAAACCATAATTTTTAAATCCATGCAAGTAACTGAACTGGTATAAAATTATACATAGCTCTTTAAAAAAGATTTTTTTTGAGGCTCTCATCAATTTCAACAAATTATCCAGAACTTTTGACCAAAACACTATCGCACTCTTCATTGCATTTTTTATCGGTTCAGAGTATAAGAGCAGCATATTCCAGTATAAAATCAAACTCACTGCCATCGAGTTGGTTTCGACTCATAATGCCCTTATAGTCGAAGGTAGAATGGCCCTCATTGGGGTTTCAAGGCTGTTAAGTATTTTCAAAACCAAGCTGCTCTTGCTCCCACAATGCGGCTGGTTGGTATAAACCAGTGACCTTTCAATTAGCTTCCAAGCAGTTAATTATTACAATGCCAGAGCGCCAGAAAAAGGTAAGCCTAAAACCCACTGAGTTGATTCTGACTCCTACTGGCCCTATGTGGAGTTTCTGAGACTAAATTTTAGGGAAGCAAACAGCCTCCTCTTTCAAACAACAGCATCACCAAGTGGGCGGTGGGAAATAGTTGTGACATTTATGAAAAATGACTCATGTTATGGGTTGAATTGGATCTTCCATCAAGAATTTTGAATGAAGTATTGAAGCTCTAAGCCTCATACCAGCCCAGGTGGCCCCGTTAGTAAAGACTCAGCAAACGCCATCAGCTAGGTTAGCATGTGGTCAGGGAGCACGTGCTCTGGAGCTGGTAGCCTCACAGAAAGGAGAGGATGTGTAGAGGACGGATGCCAGGGGACACTGCATTTGCAAACCAAGAACACCCACGGTTACAAAGGCAGGAGAGAGGTTTGAGGAGGGTTCGCTCTGAGAGTCCCAGATCAGCCAATTCAGCTATGGGACACCAACCCTCCCTCTGGAACTGTGAGTGCGGCAATGAGTTCCCACTATGTGAAGCCACCCACTTTGTGGTATTTCCCCGTGGCATTCCTACGAATAGCAGCACAACTGATATCCCTCCAATGTAATATGGCCATGCCATTTAAAAGACAAACAGTAATAAGTTATATACAGATCACAAACAGAAAAGCTCTGGCTAATGAAGTGTTTATACTTTTGATCTCGAAAGTACAGTAATGGTAATATTAAAAACTTTAATTAAAGTAGTGAAATCTTGTTGTTTTTTTCTACAAGTTAGGCAAATGTTTGTGAATAAATAAAGTTCTATGGGTTAAAAAAGGGATAGTGATAAAACATACTCATAACAAGGCTGATGGTGGTAGCAATTACCTTAGCCTTTCTAGTGATTTGGCAATATGTTTCAATCCCTTTTCTAGGAATGAATCCAAAGGAAATAATCAGAAACGTCAAACTTCTGCACAAGATCTTACGCTAGAGAATGCTGTCTAAAGCATGGAAGCAACCTATGTGTCCAACAATAGGGACTTGGCTGAATAAATTCTTAGCAATGTACTTACAGGATTAAACATTAAATAGTATACAAAACATACTTCACACAAAAATATAAAAAGTAATAGCCATCATTATTTCCATATGATTTTTTTGGTAAGTCCTATAGTCTTATCACTTGTGCTCACAAATCCTGCCCCTAACACTACTAGCTGCGCAACCTACACCCTGTCATTTAGCATTGGGCTGCTAATCAAAAGGTAAGTGGTGTGAGCTGGAAGGGGGGAAGTAGCACCATGTGTTTCTGTAAAGATTTCGAGCAGTTCTAGTCTGCCCTGCAAGGGGTACTGTGCCTCTGAATCAACTCGACAGCTGCGGGTTGGCTGTCTTTATTCATGCGCACCAGGAAAAGGGCTTGATTCAGCATTTCTCAACTTGGGGGTCTAACGACCCTTTCACAGGAGTCGTCCGATTCATCACAGTAGCAAAATTACAGTTATGAAGTAGCAACGAAAATAATTTTATGGTTGGGGTCACCAAAACATGAGGACGGTGGAGAACCACTGGCTAGAAGGAATCATCAAGTTCTGAATGGCCATCTCTGGTTGTTGGGATTAGGAGTGCTTTTTATTTTCTGCTATATTTTTTAATTCCACACAATTATCTGAAATGAGTTACACAAGTAATGTCACCAGAACAAGCATGGCATATCAAATGTAAGTAAGTTTATGTCTCCAATAGCAATTAATTTGCTCCGAAAGTTAATGAATGAAAAAGAAGTGTTCACGACTTTACTCACTGAATCCCCTGTCTTGGCTGAGACAAAGTGGCTGGTAAGACCATTTTCCTGGCAAAACCACGCATGTTTTTCAGCTTTGACAGTTCGCATGTGCTCCAAATCAACTAGAAAGGAGGGAAAGAGAGAACAAAATTCAATGTTGTGAAGTTAATCGGTATTTTCTGGTGTTGGGATGCTGAAGTTCGATTTGCCTTTTTATATTTTTTGAATGCTGTGTCCAAGCTTGGATACTAACTGTGTAACACTGGGCAATTAAATTCTCCTCTTTGCGCCCAAGTTTCCACATGTAAAGCCTGAGAGGAATCAATGCACGACCTTACTTAGAATCCTTTGAGAGCTACACCGTGTGAGGTGCTCAGCAAAATGACTGGCACATGCTCAAGTGCTCATAAATTCAACGCCAACCTTAGTATCTACACAGCTTGGGCCATACACATGATGCTCAAGAAGGCCTCCTGAACTCAGTACATTCACACCCTGCAGTTATCAGAGGGAAGGTGGCTAAGTATGGTTGAACTGTAATTCCACAATTACCAACAGGAAAGTCATAATTCGGATATATTCTGAACATTGCACCACATACTCTTACCAGCGTAATTAGTCATGGTTTAGTTTCACAAAGCTATAGGTCAGTTGTTTCCAGTTCCACAGTATCCTTTTTGAGACCACTGAACAAGAGTCTATGTCCTTGAAATGCTGTAGATGCTTTAAAGCAAACCAGGGTACTCAAGTCCAAGGCTGGTTTTATGTGACACTGGCTATTTTTTCAAATGTGACCCTTTATTGAATGGTTTCTCTTTTTACACTACAGACCCTATAAGTGTGTTGACTCAATGCCGTGAAGTTATGAGGCAAATATATTCACAGGATTTGAGGACAACAAGGTTCTTTGAGTCAATATGGGAAGAAAAAAAAAACCTTAAACCGATTTCCTGAGGGAGGTACCCAACTGACCTGTAAAAACTTGCAAATTTGCAAATCTAGTAAGTCTGCATAATAGTGGCAATTGATTCTCAACTTTAAAATGCCTTCAGATAACATAAAATACTTTATTTGAAATTATATTGCAGGTCTTTCATTTGTAGGTTCTGGGAGGTTTTTGATCTAGTGGGCAATTCCTGAGCAAGTCCCATTTATGTTGCCTACCTTGGCTATGAAGGCATTGTTGTGTCGTGTTTGTGTTTTCTGTTCGGGCCCCATGCTGCTGTTCCTGAGACCTTTAATTCCAAAACAGTCCAGAAAACATCCAGGTAGCACAGGTATCAAAATGCAAAGCGTCCCCTGCCGAGCCCCCAAAGAAACAAAGGGCCAAAATGCTACCCCATTAGTGCTGGCATATATACACCTACATTATCATAATATTGAAGCTAAAACAGTTCCTTAATTCAACAAGAGTTAGGAATAGCCCATGGCACTTGGACAAATTCCCATCAAAATAAACGTGCTGTATGAGATGCTCTCTATCCTTGTACTCTTTGTTCTTTCTCCTTTTTATCCTTTTCTTCCCCTCAACTCCCCACCTCCCAAATACATATATCTGGAGTTTTGAGCGATTTAATAACCAAGTACAGGGTAGTTTCCGGATAAAGAGAATCATACAGTCACTAGTACCACCACTGGCCATTCAAAAAGAAGTCCCTTATTCAAACAGCATTACTTGAACACCGACTGTAAGCGAGTGAAATGTGGTGGGCAGTGAAAACAGTGATGGAAAGGGTATAATCTAGGCCCCTGTGAACACAAACAGGTCAAAGTAACAACAACTTGAAATATTAGGTGACTTCAGGGGAAGTCACTTTTTATCACCAAAGGACAAAAGGGTGACATGGTTGTACAACTCAAAGAATGAAATCAATGACACTAAACGGAACATGTAGAAACTTGAATTGTATGCTTTGCTGTATATTCTCAACAACAAAATAATCTTTCAAAGAATTAAAAATGAGTCTAATTAAATAAGTGGCGAATAGGACCCAAAACAAAAAATCATATCGATGTGAATGATGGGAAGCACGGAGTAGAGATCCAAAGCCCAACTGTAGACAATTGGGCATCCCCTTGGGTCACAAGGATCTTGACGAGCCAGTCAGGGTGTAGTACAGCACCGATAAAACATACAACTTTCCTCTAGTTCCTTAATGCTTCCTCCCCCACACTATCATGATCCCAGTTCTACTTTACAAATGTGGCTAGACCAGAGCATGCACACGGGTACAGATAAGAGCTTGCAACACAGGGAATCCAGGATAGGACCAACAATAAGAATAGCGATACCAGGACGGAAAAGTGAAGAAGGTGCAGGGAGAAAGAGGCAACCGATCACAATGATCTACATATAACCCCCTTCCCAGGAGGATGGACAACAGAAAAGTGCAGGTGAAGGTTGACATCGGTCAGTGTAAGACATGAAAAATAATAATTTATTAATTATCAAGGGTTCATGAGGGAGGGAAGGTGGGGGAGGGAGGGGGGAAAATGAGGACCTGATACCAAGGGCTCAGGTAGAAACAAAATGTTTTGAAAATGACGATGGCAGCATATGTACAAATGTGCTTGACACAATGGATGGATGGATGGATGGATTGTGGTAAGTGTTTTAAGAGCCCCCAATAAAATGATTAATAAATAAGTGACGAATAGGCCTTTTCATTTGTTATATTAGAATTCTGTAGGCAGCATCTAAGCAGGCTCAGTTAAATAAGAGTACTTTACTCTTAAAAACCCAGATATAAACTCTTAAGACACAGTTATGGTGAGATGCCAGGAAAATATTTCTTTTCATATATGGGATAATTCCCATATGCTGTAATCATTTAATTTCCTTTTTGTCCTTTAGTTAACTACTCATCTTCTTTATATGTTAAATTCCATTTATGTCTAAGCAAAAAGGACAAGGGCATTGTTATGTGCATATAATTTTTTTTAGCCTAAACCATACTACACCATATTTAAACATAATCTGGCAATTGCAATGGAAAGTGAATTTAACAGTCATTGATTAAGTCATCCATTCAATGAGTATTTGAGTGTCTAATATGCCTAGTCATCACTCATTCATCAGTTTGTCGTACTGTGATGGCACGTGCCGCTGTGGTGCTGGAAGTCATACCACCAGTATTTCAAATACCAGCAGGGGCACCCATGGTGAATTGATTTCAGAGGGGCGTCTAGACCACAAGCAAGCTTGGAAGAAGAATTCAGCTGTCCACTTTAGAGACATTAGCCAATGAAAACTCTATGACTGCTAGCAGAGCACTGTCAGCCACACTGCTGGAAGATGAGCCACAGAGGATGGGAGGGACTCAAAAGAAGACTGGAGAAGAGAAGGCGCTTCCAACTCCAGTCTGTCTTAAAGATGCGGTGGTACCCAAGTTTCCAAGAGGTTCCGGATGGGGCTCAAAATGAGGAGAAACAGCTAAAAACATCCCTTATCACTCAGAACAAGGTATATATGAAGCATGACTCCAGGGAAATTTGATCTCTAAAAGGGATTATTGATGACTGAAAAAAATGCATACAAGGAAAAGGAAAGGTAGCTTTAAAAAGCATGGCCTTGGTAACAAAGCTGGAGATTGCATACAAATATTCTGCAAGACAAGTCCCTGAAAAAGAACATCACGCTTGCTAAAGTAGAAGGGCAGAGAAGGGAGGAAGATCCTGATGAAATGGATTGACTACAGCAATGGGCTCAACATGACAACTGGGCAGATGGATGACAGAGGACCAAGAACTGTTTCCTTATGTTGTACGTAGGGTTGCTATAAGTCGAGACAAATTTGATGGTACCTATATCACACAATAATCAATTATTAGCTTAAGGTCTTTGGTCCAACACTCCGCCTGCCCCTGTCCCCCAAAAAACTCACTGCCAAATGGATTCTGAGTCATAGTGACCCTGTATCTCAAGTCACTCTAAATCTCAATTCTTCATGTTTGAAATTAAAATAATGCTTTTCCAAGATTCCTACGAGGTCCCAAGGTATTGAGTAAATTCTGAAACAGATTTTAGGTTGTTTTAGATGTATCCTAAACTGGTTTCTATGCTTCTGTTCTTGTCCAACATCCTTTCTCCTACAGCCACCAGAGCTCATACTACACCATTAGTTACAACCTCCAGTTCCTTTCATATTGCTATTTGCATACATACACAGTGCTACTTCACTTAACATCTGTGATACATTCTGTAAAACAGGATAGTATGTGATTTGGTCATGCAAAATGAAGACCATGTCATAGACTGGTCCTGTTTACTCTTCAAGTATCTTGAACAAATTACATGCCTTAGCAGTGATGGGTGCCATGCTACCCTGAGGGGGATTTGTGTTATTTATGTTATGAACTGAGCTATTAGCAGTTCCTCCATATCTGATCTAGGTCCTTCTCATATTTTTATCAGCATTATTATTCAGTGGAGTCCATCTTCAGTTTAACAACTTGGCAAAGTTTCTGTTTTGAAGAACCTGCATGATTGCCAACTGTGATATGCTTATCCTGAGCAATGGCATTTACTCTTTCACTGGGTACCATTTAAAAAACTTTCACTATACTTCCAGGTTGGTATTTGCCTCCTGCTGCTGTTCTCACAAGCATGGATTTCACTGCACATGGGAGCCGTGATGCACTTCATGATTTTATATATACAGATGTTTGTTGTTGTTGTTGTTGTTGTTGTTTGGGGGGGTTGTCCTCCCCCTTCCCCCCGCCCCAAATCATTGTTTATTGGCAGTGAGCTGGAAAGGGTAATGGAGTTAGCATACACAGACAACACCGCACACCGCTGTCACAAGGGCAGTGAGAGTGAGAGGAAAAGTGGCCTGGAGCTTAAGTGGTGCCCTCCCATCAAGAGGTGGGCATGGGAGGGGGCGGGGGGCCTGGAGTGTTGAGAGGGCAGCCTCCACCACCTCCATTTCGTAGGCATGGTTAGAGATGACGAGGGACTCGCTGGCTGCAGCCCCAGCCTGACTGCTTGCAGTGTACTTCCCTCGGCTCACTTGATGGACTCCCCCTGGGCCGCCTTCAGGCTCCTTCTTGCCACCCCAGGCCTTCAGGGCAGATGCCTGCAGAGCTCACCCATAGGAGAAGGTCAGGGCCCATGGATTCAGCA